TGCCCGAGCGGGAGAATTGGAGCAATGTCGGAGCAGACAGCGTTTTGCGGGAGTCGATCGGGTGACGGTGGCCCATCTGTAGTAGACACTCAGGCAGTGCAAGTCACTGACCAAGTGTTCGATGCTAGTCAAGGGTCCGGTACCGTGTTCGATGACGACTTTGAATTGTTACTGTCTATGCCCGAGCGGGAGAATTGGAGCAATACCGGAGCAAACAGCGTTTTGCGGGAGTCTTCGGGTGACGGTGGCCCATCTGTAGTAGACACTCAGGCAGTGCAAGTCACTGACCAAGCGTTCGATGCTAGTCAAGGGTTCGGTACCGTGTTCGATGACGACTTTGAAATGTTACTGTCAATGTCATTGTTGGCAGTGCCTCCCTTGGAACACCACGTCGATGCCAAAGAAAACAGCATGCCGCCAAACTCACTGAGTGACGTCACCCAAGCGACAGATGAGCTGAGCAGTGACTATCCAGATCGCAAGGATGTATCTTTTGGAGAGAATTCCAAATTCGGTTGGGGGCCTTGATGCGTTTGCGTAAACCTTGGATTTTTGACTAGCGGTATAACCGAGTCCGGAGGTGGACGACCAGATATGATTGCTCCCCAGGTCAAGATAAGTAGCCGAGCGGCTTCTTGAGTGGTCCTTCCGATAAGAGACCGGAGTATAATGTCGATTTGGGGAAGGTCAACAAAGACTGGGTCTTGGTCACCACTGGAGTCGGTAACCGTGCTGAACCTCCTTCAGTTGATGGCGTCGCATCCGCCTCGTCCTGATGCTTGCCGTATCCCTATTTAGTGCCAGTTCTTGGTCGTCTCGGGCACTCCCTTTCCCTCCGTGACTTCGATAACCATTCGAATTATAGCGAAGCCTACGGGTGGTACGTACACCATGCTCTCTAAGAATGCGGAGATGGCTGTTACGAGCGCTGGCCAAGAGCCGACAACCGGTTAGTTGCGGAAGCTCGGAGTCGGGAAGGAGACGCCGAACAGTTATTTACGCCACGGATGTTGTCTAATAAGCTGAGAACATCAACAACATGGATACCTCGGAAACTGACTCCAGCAGACCGGCGTTCATGTCAACGAGACCGCGTTCAAACGACCCCAGATACCCAAGCGCGCCGTCACTTTGGAGTTCGGTGACTGGCCCCTCGGCGAATCCTTTGTCAGCTGGATCAGATCTAGTCAGACCAAATTAGATCAGGTCTAATCTTGAACTGGAAAGCCCATCAAAATCTCAGAGCCCATCAAGATCTCAGAACTAGTTGGCTCATGGTTGTTGACTTGTTGGTGGACACTCCCCAATCCCTGGGCGACCGATTTTGACCTGGTACCCAAGAGTATCAAAAAATTTTTCTTCCACTACCACGCCGTCCGCTCCTGAACCGACCACTACCACGCCGCACGCTCCTGAACTGACCACTACCACGCCGCCCCCTCCTGAACTGACCACTACCACGCCGCCCGCTCCTGAACTGACCACTACCACGCCGCCCGCGCCCGAGCAGACTACTACCACGCCGCCCGAGCAGACTACTACCACGCCGCCCGCGCCTGAGCTGACCACTACCAC